ACCCATATCGAATAGCGTTTTGAAATGATTCCTCTCTTTTTTATCCCATCGCTCTCAGACAGTTGTTATTCCTGACAAATCTCCTTCCTCGTCTCTTATATATTCATATTAGCGACCTTCCTGACTCCATTCGTCATTCCCACTATCACTTATATGCAGACGATCTACAAATCTACTTACCGCTCCAACCATCTGAGATGCCCGAGGCTACCCGAAAACTAAAAGAGGATATTAACTGTATCCATAGGTGTGCGGAAAAAAGTAAACTAAAGCTGAACTCAAACAAAACCAAGGCAATCCTCATTGGCTCCAAGCACCTCATTAGTTCCCTTTCTTTCTCTCCTTTACTTTACCTCAATAACCGTCCCATCCATTTCTTTCCGATAGTCAAAAACCTCGGAGTGATCTTTGATCAGAACCTCTCTTGGAGAGCAACCATATTTCTCCGATTACCTGTAAATCCTTAACTATCCTTAAACAATTCTGTGATTCCATTCCAAAAAAACCCAGACAGCTCCCTATAACATTTCTTGTTTTCTCCCACTTCGACTACGGTTGCTTGGTGTATGGAGGGCTGTCCACAGGACTGTAGGAGAGACTGAAAAAACTTATGAATTGCTTCATAAGATTCATCTTTGGATTCCAAGCGTTTCATTTTGTTGGTACACCGAGTTGAAGTGGCTTTATCCTACTTCACGATGGCAATTCCCTCTTGGTGTTTTCCTTTTTCAAGTCCTCAGAACCAAAAACCCTCCCTACATCTTAGAACTCCTTACTTTACGCTCCTCTATCCACTCTCTCAACACCAGATCTCAACCTATAGATTTATATATCCCTCCCATAAAACCACTTTTTAGCACTTGGATGGGTGGCCGCCCGATTTGGGTGACCGTCTGCCAGGGAAAGCCACGCTGGCCGAGACCCCCCCCCCGGTTTGTGAGGCCCGTCAATCTACTGGAGGTAACTCACACCACTAGCGGATCCAGGATTTAATTTTGGGGTGGGGCTTCAGCCCGGAAGCTTTTTTTTTCATATATATAACGATAAATACTTTAGAAAAACAGAAAGATACTATCTGTATGAAATGGTGTTTAAGTGATTCTTGAAGTCCTATTAAATGTAATTAAACGAGCAATAATGCTTTAAGACATAATTTTTACCATAAAACATGGTTACATTTTATCATTTTGGAGAGGGGGGGGGGCTTCAGCCCGAAAGCCCCCCTCCCCTCCCCGTAAATCCGCCTGTGACTCAAACTGACCGAGCTTAGGAGTGATGATATCGTGATCAAAGATCTACAAGGTCTGTAGCGCCAACCGAAAAAAAAGAAATATACACTGACAGGCGAAAAATTCCACCCACTTGATTTTTTCATGTTTTCATCTAAAAATATTTCTGCTTTGGATTGGTCTATTATTTAGGTAACCTTTTTGTTTGTTTTCAATTAGGAATGTTAATATAGAGGACAATATCCCTTAATCCTTAATTCAATGAAACGATTCTAGATTCCAATGTTCCAAGATTCCAAAACGAACCATTATTATTCTAAAAGAAATTAATTACATCGTCGTTTAGTAGCGCATGTTTCCTCCTCTTGCCTTCATTACTTCTTGAAGACGCCTCGGCATACTTTCCACCAGTGGGGAAATGTCCCTTTGCAGGAGGATAGCCCATTCCTCCCAAAGAGCCCTTTGAAGGTCCTGCAGTGTATCAGGAAGTGTTGAACGCGCTCTTATTCGTCTTCCGAGGTTATCCCATAAATGCTCAATGGGGTTCAAATCTGGAGAACGTGCTGGCCAGGCTAAAACCTCAATATTGTTCTGTTGAAGGAATGTCTGCACTATCAAAAAATCAAGTGGGTCGAATTTTTTGCCTGTCAGTGTATATATGTTTACAATTTCCTGGGTATTTTTTGTATATATTTGTATGATACCTACATGCTAGACTAATGTACATATTTTTTTAACTCTACTATTATTCTAAGGGTACTTCAGTACTAGAATAAAATTATTTTTCATTTCATTCATAGTGTATAGATCTGACAACTTAGAGCGGGTATTGTGAAAGTGGATAGAGGATTTGAATTGAAGGATCTCGGAGATATTTAACGGTAAGGATAAAGCCACTTCAGTTCTTTATAAAAACGGGAGACAAAGGCGTCTCTTGGGATCCTGAAGATGAAACGTACAAAGTAATTTATCAATCGTTTTACTTTAGCCTCGAGATCCTCAGAGATACCACCATATACATGGCACAACAGTAATCAAAGTGGAGGAATACTAAGAAAGCCCATTCAAATTAGCACAATAAAACGGGTCTATCTTGCAAAAGGTCGGGTAATTCAAATTTATTTTTTATATTGTTACGTAAAACAGCTATTTGAATATCGCTTTGAAAAGTTGTGTTAATTTTACCTTATTATTCTTAGGATTGTTAAAACTGTTTTAAAGTGTAACCGTCAAAGTACAATTAACATAAATAAAAAGTGAATGACAAATAAGAAGGAAGGAAAACTCAACACCATAAGCGGTCATCAATAAAGTTAGTCCCATTTACTCCACTAAACGAAAGTCATTCAAAACTTTAAAATTTTATGTTCTTGAAGACATTTTGGTGGGCGGTATATTGTTGGAACAGTGAAAAATTTGATTTTATTTTTGTAATTTTAAAGGTGTTTCCCATATCCCTTATAATCATGTAATAATTAAATTTATTCTAAATTAAGCACATTTATCATTATAAGGAAGTTGATATTGCTTTATGTATATAAGCACGAACATAATACCTATAGCAGACAGGATTTATTCCAGCTCCCTTCACTCCAGCTGCTAATCTATCACTAGTATGCCTATGTATCCAGGTGCAACACCCATCTCCATACCGAGCTCGGTTCAACATTTCTAACTTTCAGCCGATTACGCTACAGAGGAATCATTTTCAAAAATCATAAAATTGTTCGTCAAGGTAATCATAAAAGGTAGACATCAAGATATATAAAAAAGTACGTATAAACAATTGCCTAATTTCCAGCAGAAATGTAGGAAATTTATGATTTGTGTTTTTTAAGCGAGTCTCGTTTTTTGTTGAATAGGAAGCGATAAGATTAAAAATATTTTATTTATGTAACTAAACATTACATAAATAAAATATATATATATATATATATATATATATATATATATATATATATTTATATATATATATATTTGATTTTTTTCTCTTTAGAGTATTGAACATTCATAGACAGTTATTTTTTTTTTTTACATTCATAACTTAAAATTTTGTTGCATAACTAGCGCCATTTTATCTTTATGTGCATTTTTTCGTTGAATACAGAAGATTATTTTATTTTAACTCATATTTTTATTTTATTTTTACACATTTTCCATGGCACAAATATACTGGTCATTAACATACCTCAACACGAAGAAGGTTTCTATTGAAACTCTCAGTTCAGGTAACATTTAAGCTGAATATGTCTAATTTATCTCTCCTTCAACCCTGCTGAGTCTTCTGGTGCCATCTTAAAACAATAGGCAGACATCAATAGAATAAATGTCTAGACAACGTAAAATATGCTTACATACACTTAACACCAAGATGAACAAAGCTATTGTGATCGAATCCCCCTCTATCCTCAAATTTATTCCTCAACTTCCCAACTTTATCTTGAACATCCTTTACTTTTGACCAAATCCTTTCCCGAAGACTAAAATTTCCCTACTTTGACATTAAACCATACCCTCAAGATATTCGACTATATCTGCTATCTCATAAACTTAAACCATGCCAATCTTTATTTTCTGCCAATACTGACTATGGTTATCTGTTATATGGCAGACTCTCTGGTGAGCTCATTGCTAAACTTAATTGAGTTTAAGTGGCACAGCATCCTTCATACAAGAGCAGATCCAGGATTTGTTTTTGAAGGGAGGAGTTTTTAAAAATATTTTTTAATAATTGTAATTAATCTGGAATAAAAAAAACTATCGACATGAAATAATGTTTAAGAGGTCCTGGAAGGCCAAAAAAAAAAAGTTAATTATAGGAAAAATAATGCTTAAATTATAAGGATGAGTTTCTTATATTTTATCTTGGTACGTCCTTACATTTAGTAGCTATATGCTTTATAATTTAAAAAGAGAATATATAGTAATTGTTCAAGAATTTCCATTTTGGGCAGAAGCTTCAGCCCGAAAGCTTCTCCCCTGTAGATCCACCAGTTTAGTCATATACCAGGTAATGAAGACTTACTACCCTTCCTATATCCTTTAGTGTCTGCAGTAAATTTTCAATTTAATCTTGCTACAACAGATCCCTTCCCTTCTATCTGACTTCTACTCCCTTCTCACCAAACTGCTTCATTTGACAGGTTGTCTCTAGCCTGAGTTGTGTTAGTGAGGATTGTATTTCCATGCTTAAATTGTTTTTTCACAGGCTAGAATTATGTATTTTGTTGTTTCTTCAAAGAGAACAGACTTCATTCACAAATCAAAATGTTTAAGTATAAAAACAAATATAAATAATAAGCATGAAAATCAAGAACATAAACTTAATTCCTATATATTTTATTTATACAAAAATATTTAAGCGAAACTGAAGAAAAACTAAATTCTGAAGATAAACATATACAGTCTTGTCTGCAAAACATTATAAACTTTGCAGACAACAATAAATAATAGTTTAATTTATAGATGTTTTCATACTAAAGTAACTAAATTGTTGAAGTTGGTTGGGAGGTGTTGTCATCTCCATCAATATAAGAAATCAATATAAAAACAAATATTTAAGGATATTTTCAGTTGACTGAGACAGGTATAATGGAATATTTAAAAAATAAAAATTTAATTTAAACAAAAAAAAATTAAACATTTATTTTATAATAAGACAAAATATCATTTCCAATCATATATTTTTAAATAATAAACATCTGTAAAGTTTTAAAAATAAATATTCTACTAATTAAACTATACTGTTATTTTTAATAATAGTTTGCACAAGGAAATTAATATAAAATCTAATATTTAAGAATGTTTTTGTTGACTGAGGCAAGTATTGTGGGGTATTTATAAAAATATAAACTTCATTTAAACAACAAAATTAAGTATTTATTTATATGTAATTACAAAATATTTTCTTCATATAGAATATCAGCTAAATAGAAAAAAAAAATCATACATTGATTAAATACAGAATGCTAATAGAAATATAAAAGAATTTACAATAAATTCATGGTATTGTAAATAAAATTCACATTTTTTATTAAAAATAAAGATTCACAAGCAACTGATAAAACTATGCATTTATTTATTTATAATGTAAAGATTTGAAACCATTTATTTTTAAACACATGCAACAATACAAGCATGTGAGCATATGTATGTGAGTAGTATATTATATATATATATATATATATATATATATATATATATATATATATATATATCATTCATAATGTTGTTTTAAAATAGAAATTATGATATATAAAACAATTATTCACAGTGGGTGCATGAGTGTATAAAACAAACACATGCAGATTAACATAAACCATATCCAGGTATATACATTTATACTTTTAAAAATAAACAAATAATTAATTTATATCAATTCCACAACTATTTGGATGTTAAATCTAAAAGAATATGTGAGTAGCGTGTGTATATATATATAAACACACATACATGAAATCATTGGACAACTATGAATATTGGGTAATTATACTGTACATACAATTTACAATTATCTACAAGTTATAAATCCAAATAATATTTTCCTTTTTTTTAAACAAAAAAAAAAAAAGAATAATTTATAGTTCAAGTATCTTCTAAATATATCTGTATGTGTGTAAGAGTTTGTGCGGGTGTGATTTATACATTAACATGACTTTCAATTTTCAGCAGATCAGACACACAAATCACTTGTGAATTTTTTTTTCTGTTAGTGTATACAATTAAATTACAATTGTAAAATCAAATGAAATTCAGTTTCTAAAGAAAACCCATGTCAAGAGCATTATACAGGGATATAAGATCAGTGTGTGAAGACACTCTCCAGAATGGAAAGTTCATCTGAAAAAAAATATAGATAATGATTAGATTTATGAGTGTGTATGTGTTTGTATGTGTAAATTAATTTTACTTTAAAGGATAAAACAGGCAGATAAAATGAGAGTATTTGGGTAGGTAAGGAATAAGAAGATAAGTTTGGTAATAAAAAATGAAAAATAAAACTTGTAGCATCAAAGACTATTCTCATATTTAAAACATATCTCATTAAAATGGCAATCTATAGGCCATTATTACAAAATACATTAATCAGAATATGAAATGGATAATAATATGGATTTTTAACTGTTACCAATCATTTAACCATTTATGCTCAGGGTCTCGGGGAAATATTTTGCATATAATGTTTAGTGACTCTCCTGATAGACCATCCTTGGGAATGCTCTATTATTTACTCAAAATCTGAGTTAAGGTATAATATCCATTATCTGCTATGTATGGAATGGATAATGCCATATCTGATATGCTTAAAAGACATGCATAATGAAGTGTACCCATGTCTACACTCTATTTCACAAGCATTCAAACCATGTTTACAATTTATGGACCCCTCCCAATAGTTTTTAAATAAAAACATTTGTGAAACTACTTCCAATTGTAGAATTGTGGTAAAAAATTTTATCAAAGATTTTCTAAAATTTAAAAACAATATCAAAATAGCTTTAAAATTAAGAAATTGGGACTTTATTTATACAAAGCTGTGTTTCAATAGAAAATCAAAATATTATTGTTAAGTTTTAACATTTGCAACAGCGAAGTGAAAAGTTCAAAGTAAATCACGTTTTTAATGCATATGAAGCGACAAATAAAAAATATTTAATTTAAATAATTCTATTGTTCAATTGAAAGGATGTTACATTACTGAATAAAAAAATAAAAAAAATGTAAATAATTAACAAACTATTAATTACTTCACAGTAAATTAGATAAAATTTACTTCAAATGAAAGTAGAGTTTGTCACTGTTAAAATAATTTAAAGAGGGCTTTGAGGGAATTAACTAAGCTAAATTCTGTTTTTAAAAAAGTCTTGAATTATTCGCAATTTTATTTTATCATCCTCCAACTATACTACAGATATGCTGTTTTTAGAAAAACTTTCTTAACCTATAAACTTTAACTCCAAATGTCCAGACTTTGGTTTGTACAAAACCAAGTGAATTGAACATGGAAAGATGGAAGTGAGTTCTCTTCACAAATGAGGTGAGAGTTGGTCTCAACTCTTCAGATGGCCATATTTAAACATGGAGAACGATAAAACCATGTACTATGGCTTCCGAAGTGGCATTTTGTGCTGGCTCACTGATATTCTGATGTGGCATTTCTTTTGATGTGCTTAATGAGTGGGTTGTGGTGCGAGGAAGGTCACTAATGTCACAGAGGTAATTGAATAACATAATGCCATTTGCACCCTACATTGGTGAAGGATTCACATTTATGGACAACAATGCCAGACCACACAGATCATAAAGGGTGAATGAATACCTAATTCCTCAATTGGGATTGAGCAACTGGTGTGGCCACCATGAAGTCCAGACTTAAACCCAATTGATCATGTCTAGGACCACCTTAAGAGAAGAGTATGAAGTTGGAATTTGTATCCTAGCACCCTTGAGAAACTGGAAACAGCTTTTCTAGTAGAATAAAACAACAAATTTAAGAGTAGAACAATATTCCTCAGGAATTTATTGAGGATTTTTTCAAATCAATGGAAAGACGTTTAAAGGATGTGATTCATGCCAGAGTGGAAATACCCGTTATTGGCTTAGCAAAAATGAGAGTTTTACTTTTACTTTTTTGTGAAACTTATCATATAGGATATACTTTGTTTCTTTTACTATCTGTGTACCTTGTTCTATTAATGTAAAATAAAATTTTGATTTCAAATGACTAATTTTATCATATAAAAATTTTGTTGGGCCCTGAAATTCAAATAAAGTGGAAATCTTTAAAGAAATGTAGGTGGTGCATTAATTTTGTCTATCAGTGTATTTTCCTTTGCTTACAAGATACCCCTGTATAGTTTACGATATTTTAGTACTATTTGTATTTGAATAAGTATTTGTGATAATTGTATTTTATTTTTTTCTTAATAATGGATAAACCCTTTTTAAAAATATTTTTGGTTGTATATTTTTTTGGTCTAATTTTAAATATTTATTGGAAATAAATCTTTTAAAAAAGCAGATTCAATTTATGTTTTTAAATCATGTAAGTCATTATGTAGGCTACCATTGATACTGCATTTTTTTTAATAGTCAGTGGCTGGAACAGAAGGTGATCTACAGAACTGACCATGCTAAATACATTTTCAACTCATCAACTATATGTTTATACAAAATAAAAAATTTAGATAATTTTATTTAATATATTTCTTTCTTCAGAATTGAGTTTCTAACAAACAGTAACTCAACTGCAACCCTCCAATAGCCCAGAGATCAGAAGAAAAGCTTTGCACCAATTTATAAAGAAATGGAATAATAGAAAAACTAGTATTTATATTGAAATAAGATATATAAGTAAACCTGCTGATAAAAACTTTAGAAAGAAAGGCACAGTTGTTAATATGAAATCCACATTATACATTAAATTGATGGAATTTGCCACAAATATACATTCTGGCTATAAGATGGACACGAAGAAACTTCCATGAGCTGTAAAGATAGTAATATTTCAAAAAATCATAAGCACTTATCCGAAAAACAACATTACAGCAGGAAGGTTTGTCCTAACAGTATTCTTTTCAAAAGAACTTTGTTATGAAATATTCTTATCCTTATTCCACAACAGAATAAAAGATCAAAGGTTAATAAAGACTAAAAGAAAGTTGATAATTCCGGTAGAGACACTCTGACATCAAGAAAAGTGAAAGTATTTATTGAGTGACGTTATGTTAAGGAAGCAAGATTATTCAAATAAATCTCTGATTCTCAAAAATTCAATATGATAGTATGTGGAAGCATTTGCAAGGTGTCATGTTTTTACATGATTACTGAAATCATATATTCCCCAAGTGGCCATTTAACCCAATTTTCAATACACTGCATTACTTTTGAAGAATAATATATTTTAAAAAAGCTTACTTGCTTGGCAGCAGCTTCTTCATCTTGGCCATCACCAATCACTACATATGTGCACTTAGTCCTTCCAAACCTGGTGACAATGCGTTCAAAACAACTTTCTTTACCTAAAAATATACAATAACATGTTTAGGTCAATGAATAAGAATAATATATAATTTGCATCAAACAAGACTTCGTCTTCCTGTATATTATATATACTGTAATATAACTTTATATAATTATAATTATACAGGGTGTCCCGTAAATAGAGGGGAATTTTTAAAGGAGTGATAGCAGACCTCAAGAGCTACAAAAAAGTTCATATAAACAATGGGTCAATTTTCAGCAGAAAAGTATCAAATCCAAGTTTTGTGGTTTTTTAAGTGTCGTGTTTTTTGTTGAATCGAAAGCAATTACTAAAGTAATATTTAACTTAAGTAATTAATAATTACTTCATTGTAAACTATATAAAATTTACTTTAAAACAAAATAGTTTACCAATGTTAAAACCATTTAAAAATTACTTTTGAGCGGCTAAACTAAGCTAAGTTCTGTTTTTAGAAAAATCATAAATTATTCAAGATTTTTTTATCATCATCCAACTGTACTACAGATACCCCACTTTTACAAAAACTTCTTTGATTAATAAGCTTTAAATTAGTATTAATTAAGTTGAGGTTAAAAAAAAAAAAAAAAAAAAAAACCTGTACCACTACAACCCATGAAGGGTCTTGGGTTAAGTACTATTTAGGGAAAGTACTGTTTCTTAGTCAACAGTTGTACAAGGATGTGGTTTGACAGAGATCACGCTCAACAGCCAGGTTTTCCCCCTTAATTAATTATTTAATAAAGGGTACCCACTTTTTAGAGGCTGGATGTGCCACAGGAGGGTCTTCCTATCCCAGGGTCGCCCCACGGCCAATGAAACAGAAAAAATAATTTACTGCCATGAGCCGGGATTTGAACCTCTGACCTCGAGTATTGGAAGCTTTGTGTCCTACAACTGAGCTTTCCCGCCCTCAGGTATGTTTACTAAGGAAAAATTAGAGATTGATCTCAAGTTATCTAAAAAAAATGATTATATTTTTTATCCTGTCAAGTAAAAGTGCCCCTGTTTTCAGCAAAAATGACTACAATTAACTGTTGCTTAGCTTTTATTTAATTTTTTTTCATGATCGAGGATGTATTATGATAAACCTAATTGCCTAAACACACATTTTATTTATAAAATAAATTACTTTGAAAAATAATGATTTTTCAAATATGTTTCTGGTAAATTGGTTATTAAGTATTTTTGAACTTTTAGGTGACTGGATAGGAAATCACATCATTTCTATACACAACTTGAGGTTAATCTTAAACTTCCTAATAAACCTTAACTTAATTAATATGGAAATAAAGCTTATTAAACCAGAAAGTTTTTCTAAAAGTGGGTTAAATGTAGTATAGTTAAAAGGTAATAAAAAAATTAAAAATAATCTATGAATGTTTTTTTAACATGGGTTAGCTTTGTTAGTCTGCCCAATAGTTCTCTTTAATTAGTATTAACAATAACAAACTAATTTTTTTTTAAAGCAAATTTTGTCTAGTTTACTATGGAGTAATGTTTAGTTACTTAAATAAAATATTTTTAAGTTATCACTTCCTATTCAATAAAAAATGTGACTACGAATGACGGATGCCGAAAAAAAACACAAACCTTAAATTTTCTACTATTCTGCTGGAAATTGGGCAATTATTTAAATGAACTTTTTTGTAGATCTTGATGTCTACTATCAACATTTTAAATATTTCCTTTTGCTTACGGGACACCCCCTATATTATACACAAAGAAAGAGAAAGTCTTTTTATTGAATAAAATAATTAATTTTAATTTTGAGTTATTTTGCTCATAGGATTTTAAAGTATATATTTTTACTTTCACTTACCTATATATGTAATACATAAAGGGTAAGTCTTGTGATTGTGAAAATTTTTGAATCTGAGTTTTCAACAGAAATAAACGTTTTGAGGTCCCCTGAGTCCAAATAATCAAGTCCCACAAAATGGTCTGTGTGTGTGTGTATGTGAACGGCCTAGCTCAAAAACGAAAAGTGGTATGAAACTTTAATTGCGTATTTGGGGTTTTTATAAGCCTGGGATGTTACACCGACATTTTTGTCAAAATTAGCAAACCGGATGTGGTAATTTATATCGTCGATTTAACACATTTCTAAGATTTTCTCAAAAACTGCTTCAACGATTTTGATTAAACTCTGTATATCAGTGTATTATTAAGCAGTTTGTAATATAATGTAGATTTTATTCACATTGATGTTGTCTAACAGGGCTTAAATAGCTAATTTTCAATATTAGCTTTCTCTAAAGTATATTTAAATTTTTTTATTTGAAATAATTAACTATTTCACATTAATCTTTGATATGAAAAATAGTTAAATATAAAGTATGAAAGAATTTGATAAATTAACTAACAGAGAAATAAGAGATCATAACGGATAATAGTTGTAATGGAGGAACCAAAGGAATATGATCACGCCTAAACTCACACGAAAGATTAGAACAAGCTTCCATACGTAACATGAGCTTAATATGATACGGACTCCAACAATATTATGTACATATACATATTCGGTTTTCATAAATGCTATTGTTGTTATTATTTAATATTTAATTGTATAGATTAGAGCGATATAAAAATTAAAAATTGTATATATAAGGGTAATTAAATAAATAAAAATACCTACAAATAAAATGTAAATAAATATAACATCTATAATTTTTAATTTCACTTTCCCTTTGTCTGAAAATGCTTATTTCTGCTAAGAACAGGGTGGTAAGTGAAAGTCGTGTGATACATGTACCAGATTTTTTTCTTTACAGCCTCTGTCCACTGCACAAAAACAGGTTTTGGTGCACTTCCTTTTTTTTTTCACACTTTTACTAAAATAACTCCATTTATGAAAAAAATCTCATGATTATTTATTTTTGTTTGAATGTTTCAAAGCAACTATTAAATATTTACCAATTTTGGATGCCGAATAAATATTTTCAACAGGAAATACATTTCCAAGTCCAAAAAGAAGTGTTTTTGCTAGAGCTGGAACAAGTTGGGTGGTTGTAACCATCACATTAACACAATTATCCCTAAAATAAAAATAATTATAACATTAAAAATCTATTTAAAATAATTCTCTGAGTTATAATTTATTCTTATTGGAATACTTATAACTGCATGCAATATGGAACCATGACAAAGAGAAAATGGGGCTATCTCCTGTCCAGTAAGGCATATTCAGTACACCAGTGAGGTGTAGTAGTCTGTAGTAGAATTGATGTACCAAAAGTTATCAGTAATTGATAGTAAAAAAATACATCACCAAGCATGTATATTTTTGGTTATCGAGCTAAATAAAATTCAAAAAGTAATTCTATTATATTTAATTATACTATTCGATTCGATATATATTTTTATTATGCTCTTCCATTTGTGTTTAGAAAGTTTTGTTTTATAACTTATTATTTTAGAAGTTGTTTGTAATATTTAATGAAAAAAACAACAAATAAAAATATCCTTTAGAAGAGTGAGTGGGGAGGGAAGTCTTGAAATAACTTTTTTGAAACCTTTAATAATAATTTGCAAGATGTCATATTTTTATAGATAAACTAATCTTTTGACAGACACTAATATTTACCTAGCATGTATATGATTTAAGCATTTGGTTGCTAATGTCAACCAATTATCTGTTACTGCTTCAATCTCTGATCTCAAAGTTAACCATTGTTCCCTTTTAGATGGACCGATAAGACCTGGAAAAATAAAATAAATAAAAAATTCAAATACTCTTTGATCATTGAACCTGGTTGAAATAATACACATTCCATTGATTTCTGATAGTTAAAACTATTCTTTTAAAGATAAAAACAAGGAAAAAATGAGCAAAGTAATTCAGGAAACATAATAAATCATTCTAACAATCAGAACAATATTTGCCATGATTTTCTTGCCTCAACCAATTTTTTTCTAACCTATAATCCATTATTCAGTTAATGTTTGAAAATTGTAAAAAACTTAAAAGAGAGTTGGTTCTTTCCTATTTATTTTTTCAAACTGAAACTGAATATTATGATAATATATATTTGGCCTTTACATAGTTTTAAACAATGGTATGGTCTATAAAAAATGTTATCTATCTCCCTCAGTCCCTCCAAAAAAAGTTAGAAGCATGCTCCTCTGAGAGGAGATTTTATTTTCAGTATGATGGTTCTATCAATTATAAAGAAAAAAAAAACAAGATGCTACAAAGGACTAAAGACTGCAATAAAAGTAATTAATATAATTTGTTTTTCTTTTTGAGAAATTCACGAGAGCCAGGAGAAAGTATATCCATCAAACAACTGAATTATTAATAATTAATCCCTATTCAGTTATGAAACAGCATCTTTGAAATTCATTTGACAGTAAGAAATCAAAAAATAATACAAACTGATTTTGAATTAAATAGACTAAAAAAATTTAAAGTAAGTATACAGGCTTATTTAATATTTTTTTAAGAATATCCATCAAATAAATGTTTCTAAAAAATGACACAAAGAATACATTGATACATAATACATTTGACATTTTTACCTCCCACAGAAGCTCTATAATTGTTATATGTTTCTCTCATCTTACGATATCTAAAAGCTAACTTTCTCATCCAATCAACTCCCCCACGTAGTCCAGAGGAAGCAACACATGAGGAAAACCCATCAGTAGAAAAGTTATATCCTGATAGATCCTGTCCGTTGTCATCACTTGAAACATCATCTATGTGGACTTGATCACAATCCTGAAGTAATAAATTACAAGTTTCACTCAGCAGTATTAAATTATTAGACTGATGTAATGGTATATTTTAAACTGAAATAATTAATAAGTGGAGTTATTTAAGACAGTAAATATAAAAAATTAATACCTCAACATCATTGAAGAAAAAGTGTGCATCAGCTAAGTCAAAAATAAGAGTTTCCATTTTGTATCCTAACTGAACAACAGATTGTGAGTCCTAAAAACAAAAAAAAATCCAAAACCTGTAAATTGATCACATGTAATGTAAATTTAAATTGGTAAACTATCACAAAAATTATTAATAATAAGATGGACTTAATATGTTTCAACAAGATAAAATGGGTGACAAGGATAATGATATCTGAAACATAATTTTTGTAAATGGATAAATTCAAAATGTTAGCCCTCAGTTATGAAGTTATTGTGATTATATAATAAGAGGGCATTGAAATGATATCTTATTAAAAATGAAGTTAAATTTCATTTAATTATCACCCCCTTAGAACTAGTAATTCAGTTGGATTCATATCTGTTCCTGGTGTAGTCAGATACTTCCAGATAATCTCCATAAGTGACAATTCGGAAAAATAAATACGATACAAAACTTCTACAGAGTGTGTTACAACCAAAGAACAAAAAGAAATAAGTCAAAATAAAAAGGGATAACTTAACTTTATAATTCAATAAATATACAAAAAAAATATTTTACCTTGTTATATTTTGTGGCATATGAACCTGTCAATAAAGAGTGAAATATTATAATTGTTTCATCAAGATCCCAGATGAATACTCTCTCCAACTGGCCATCCAATCCAGAGCTAGGACTGGGAGGACCTGCTTGAGTCATACGTCGACCTCGACCTCGCCCCACTTCTAGACATTAAAAAAACATAAATAAAACCAAACATATTAAAAATATTAGGTATGAAACCATTATTTTTTTCAAATATTTTATTACTTTCAGGTCAAGTCCCTAAACAATGAGATTTGACACAATAAAATGTTTTATAAGACGAGACAGATTAAAATATAATAGACCAAAATAATCTACATAAACACATAATAAAAAACATAAATAACAAAAATATGGTAGAAATAAAAATAAAAATACTAAACACAAACTTTTAAAAGGATAATAGGTAATACCATATAACTAAAATCATGACAGCTTTATTATACTATAATTTGTAGGGAGTAACATAAATGATGCCCACCATATTAGGAGGTAATAGTAACCTCAGTCGCAACTGAAAAGTTCATTTGTATTCAATGGCATGACCACCTCAAAAACATTTGTTTCTTAACATTAAGTTTCACAATAATAGACTAGAGTTCAAATATGTACCTTAATAAAAAAACAACACTTTTTTGAGAAAATTGTAAAAATATCATTTGATTGATTAATATCAACCAGCGTTTTATTATCTGTAGTTAAAATTACAATTTTGTTTTCCATTTAACACTCACCCGTTTTCAAACATTTCCATTGGACTTTTCATTCAAGTCTCATTAATCCAGACCCCTGTTAATCATGACAAGATTTTAAAAAAATTGAATTTAGTAAATTGGGCTTTAGGGCTCTACCAAACCATCAAATTCCTATCATATCCGATCCTTACGATACAAAATTCTTAATGCTCCATATTTTGTCACAAATAATATCATTCATAAAGATCTTATATTCCATATGATTTGGACCAAGCCAGATATCATGATAAACTCCAGTACCATCCGAATCCACTTGCTTCTAGTCTTTCTTCTTCCCCGATTCCTGATAATCCTATGAGGTGTCAGAAAAGCAGATGGCCCCATGATCTTTTACTTAGAATTATTTAGTCAATGCTACCATTAGGTAGTATCTTGATAAGTCTGTTCATGTCATTATTCTTAATTGATTCATATATACTGGTTGTATTTTTTTAATACAGTTGTAAAAAAATTAGTAACAACTAAAAATTAAATTTATCAAGCAGTCACAACAAAATTAATTTAAAAAGTGTTTAACTTAGGTCAAGTTTACAAATACTTATTATCAGGTAACTGTTTTATCTATGTTATCCCAAAACATTTATGTGATTTGATAAATCCCACAAGACCCGTTTGAACATTAGCATGTTTTGAGGAGAAGTTTATTTCATTTTTAATTTCTTAATTTATACATTACATCATTAATGGTTTGTTCTGGGTTAATGTACAATAAATAAATTTTAGTTTTAATTATAATGATATTTTGTTTTGTAAACCCTGTCTCAGTATGTAGGGAGAAAACTTAGTTCTACACATGTATTATGTGGCATAGAAAATTTAACTAAACTGCAAAACAAGGTGCATTCATAAGTTAAAAACTTGCCAAAATATTTTATCATATGCATTTTACAGTGAATCCCATATTATTGAGAGAAGTAAGGAAAAAAAATCTAAACAAAACATAAAAAAAAACTAGTTGGATACAGATGGGCTTGTGTGTGGTTGATAATAATAATTGTAAAATCAGCTATCACTTTTAATTCTATTCTTCCAGGCTAATCAGATAAAACACTTAACTACTTCTTGAAAAAACAGCAGACAGGTAGGTGAACCGTTTCCAAGACAGGCTTTAATGGTTAGGTTGATGGAAAATTTAATATAATTTGTTATTTCGGATGCAGTATACTACTTTGTTTTACCTTGGATTATTTTTTTCAATTTAAATTATATCAAAGAATTTCATAATAGTTAATTAATTAATTCTAAAATTAATATACCACTATTGTTGATAATTCATTGGAATAAGTGAAACATATTTTTTTTACCTACTGTACTATTTATTTATTTTTTTATTCCTCTATATATAAGACGTTCCGAACTGGCGGCAATATAAAAGTTATTAGCATACCCAAGAAGCTGAATGGTACTGTTAACAAGGGTTGCATGGAGTTGGATTCCAGACATACACACAGCTTTCTCTGCAGTGAAGTTAAAACGAAAACAGACTGAGAATAGAGCATCCCTCTGTCTTATACCTCAGTTAGTATGAAAGTCTTCCGAGAATCGCTTTCTATTCATAATGCACACTTAGAGCCCAACATCGTCATTTTTACGAGACCTATCAGTTAAATTGGGACATTTATGTCCAACAGGGCCTGATAGAGCCCCGGCCGAGTTACACTATTGTAGGCGGCTTTAAATTTCTATTCATCTACTTTACTACTTTATTTATCTCCTAATTTCTCAAGAAAATTCTATATAAGTTATTAATGACCTTAAACAATAAAACAATTGGTATGCAAATAAATAGATGAACTAACATTAACAAATAAGTAACTATTAAAGACAAAGAGCATACCAAGTCAAAAACACTGGTGTCATTGCCTCATTGGTTGATAAATGTTGTATTTAATATATTTTTAACTAATAAGTTGATAGCTTGTGAAGATGTATTTTAACCAGACAGAAATCCTATAAGATAATGGTTGATAAATATTCAGTATGTAGTCATTATAAAGTTTTTATTGGTACCGACATTTCAACCTAAACATGTGGATCATCATCAGGGCGTGTTTCGAGCACTGAAGGTTTTCAAGTACTACCACGTTGCCACTAATAAAAACTTAATGATGACTGCATCCTGAATATTTATCACCCATGATATGTAGAACAGTCGATAAACTTCCTTCCTATAAGATAATGTTTAAAAATATTTCTATAGATCCCAGAAGAAGGAAACTTATTGTACTAGATACTCACTATTATCTGCCCTTCTGTTTTCTAGTTTTACTGGACTAGTAGGTTCACTTGTGGCAGGAGAATCTAAAAAATAAAAAATTATTAAATTTCACACCAAACTAAACATTTATTTTATAATTAAAACACGTGTTTGACAACCAAACATGGTCCAAAATTTATTTTTCTTTTTCTTTCTAAACTTGGAAGTTCTACATGGTGCTAATTCTTTTTATGTATGATGGCCAGCTAAAATGTGCAATATGGTGATTAAAGATGGTTAATGCTTTAGATAAAAAAGTAAATCATAACAACTTTTATACCAACCAACCAATACCTAGTAATAAAATCTATTATCGCCAATCTTACTTCAAGATAAATTACTTACAATGTAATCCAATGATATTCAAAATTCTTCATTGAAAATAAATAAATAAATAAAAATAATTTTGCAAAATATTTACAAATTTAAATTAGCTAAGTTAAATCACCAAATTAAGTAGAAGCAAGGCTAAATCAGTGAATTAGCTCATTTTTGGTCTGAAAAGAAAAACAATAAAATAAAAAAAGTCATATTTATAATGAGATTTAATCAAACCTAATAAGTTAAATTACACTACAACTAGCCATGCCTATTGAGCTATTCCGTGATACGCTGACCAGTAAAGATGGACTTCAGTGAACTTAATTATGTTAAACATTAAAAGAATATGTTAAACAAATTTGAAAAAATAAATAATTTACACAAGATTATGAGTGTAATAGATTAAAGATATTATATTATTACCTGGTAGGCTGTGCTGAAGATATTGAGCATTAGGTTGATAGTATTGTTGATAATAGCTTGCTACTGCTGCAACTTGTTGACCAGCGTAACCTGCTGGATAACCACTGTACCCCTGAAAAAAAAAAATCTTTAGTAAAACAAATAGACATAAATATTTTGAAACAATCAACCATTCAGTGTTTCAAAATAATTTAATTTGATCCTTCTAAAATGTAATTATTGCATGGTGGATGGACAATATCACATCCATCACATTTTACACGTAATGCTGAAAGTTGCTGAGTATTGATAATCATGTTCGGATACAATGACAGGCATTAAGCTAGATTACATTATACAGGTATTTTATTATTAACAAAACATTGATCAGTGATCATCTAAACGCTCAAGTTGGTATTTTAATGAAAAATCATTAAATTCAATTATCTTAAATCCAAAGTTTGTAACATAACATGTAATTATTACTATGAGAAGCTAAACACATTTGTCCCCTTTCTACACATTTCTCAAAATTCTATAAAAAAAATGTTATGAAGGATTGTGATGACAATATATATATATATATATTTTTTTTTTTTTTTTTTTTTCAGTTGGCGCTACAGACCATGAAGATCTTTGACGGTGAGACATGGTATCCTTACAGACATATATTACTTGCGGTACCACAGATAGTATGGAGGAGGTCACCCAATCTTACGTTGGCAGGCCACCCATAACTCCATAGCCGACCCCTTTGGGACCAATCTGACAGTGTCCTTCTCATTGACTCACTCGGGTTCAAGGACAGTGACAGATTGGTCTAGATCCATGGATTATGGCTGCTCAGAGTCAGCAGGCGCACAAGGACCTATATTTCTTTCCCTGAGACAGACCATCTACGGACTAAACCTCAGGGAGCACCTTGGCCCGCACGGCTACCCCATTCTCATATTCTAGGGATTCTATTAAGAATATAAATTGTGTTATATTAACATTTAAGATGGTAATTGGCCACAATATTCTTTGGTCATATTATAATTTAGTGAAATATTGTTATTAACAATATCAATTATTTCTCTGTTATATAATGAATTTTTGCTTAGTTTACAGCTATGTGAAACAAGAAATAAATAAAAGTTTTCGGAACTAGGGTAAAGTGTTATAACACACCCCCCAACCAGTAATTACAGATCATGTTACCGATTGGCTATTTCTTCAGATCTACTTTGATGCTTTGCAATCAGAACTGTAATCAGGTAGCCCAAAACTCAGTTATCTCAAGAGATATTTCTTTAAGTCTTCATGATATAATAGATTATTTCATCCAACTTCGATCTTAGTGAACCCAATACCCTGTTTGGGCGTTAATTAAATTATCTTCTTCACTGAAGAAAAAATACTTCATTTGGCAAAAGTTTAATGAACTAAAGTATATTTGGTTGAGATTACACTACCTGAATTAGCTAATTACGTAACAATTACATGACTGATAATGAAATTACAAAAAAGGAGGCATACATAACATTCTTGATCATAACTGTCATTAAGATATATAAAAATTGTGTTTATTTTTATATATATTTAGTGAGAAGTAGAGAACATGATGGGAACTAGAGCTCAACTAGACCTAACCTAAATTAATTGGCTGCATAGGTCTATTTTTGGACACATTCGGCTACTTTTAATATTCCATCTACAGTGTGATCTTGTGATTCTATCCCGTATGGCAGCTATGCCGGGCAGGAGGATTAAAGAAAGAAAAAAGAGTGATCTTTATATGAGGTTGTTATGGTAGTATTGCCCATGGTAGCATTCTCGTGCCTAGTGATGCCAGTTCAAATCTGGCCAAGGAAGAGTTGACTTTTATTTTATGGCGGACCCACAAAATGGAACTCAACCTTTTCCCTCTGGTTAGAATAGGATTGGTTATACCTCTAGAATAACCCCCTCCCTCATATGCCAGAAATGGTGGGTAGCGGGAAATTCAATAAAAAGCAAATGTTTGATCTTGGTCCACCCGCAAGCAGGATTGAGATTCAGAAGAATTACATAATTTAGAGTCTATATTAATAAATGCAATAAGTTTTAAACTAATCGACTATTCAATATCTTATGAAATAGAAATTAATTTGAAAATATTCATGATCAGTAAAATTATTATTTTTTAGATATGTATCTCAATCATAATAAACCTTATGGAAAGGCCGTTAGGTATTTAAAAGGATACATGTTTCAAGCTCATTTCATATTACATGTATAAACTCAATTTACATTTATTTATAATGATTTATACTAGCTATTTCATGTACAGCTCGAATAATACCTATTACCTTTGAATTTGGCACCTTGAATGGCTTATTTGTTATTAAAAAATAACAAAAAGAAAATTTTAAAAAAAGAAAAACCATCATAAGTATCTTCTGATTTATATGAAGTTATTATAAAAAAACATAGAAGAAAAATTTAAGGTTACTAACAGCAAGGCAAGCTAGCCACCACTAGATGAAGTTGTGACCTCTGGCAATCTATTAGATAATTGAAGAACCTATTATTTATTCATATTCTTTAGGAAAAAAGAAAATTATTAAAGCTTTAGTAAGTACTGACACTTTATAACAAAATGTCAAATTGCACTAATTCAATCAATCTTTTACTCACTCTACAACCTTAATTGGAAGGCTACAGCCAGTATTGTACCATTACTACCCTTTTATTTCTAAGAAACAGCTATGATGAATTAATGAGTTTGCGAATCTGTATTATATTTTATAACTTTTTGTTTGAAACAAAAAAGTGCTTTTATTCTATTCATAACTTATTTATGGAAGAAAAACTGTTGCAGTACATTATATCCTCTAATGTACTATACAACATTATATCCTAATATCCCCATACTTTCTATAACATGCATTTTAATCAATACTATAGATGATTAAGTCTTAAATAATTAATTATGTTGGGTCCACATACCTGCTGATCATAGTTCTGAGCATTGTAACTACTAGCAGTGTATGAAGAATAAGGATTCTGTTGATAACCACTATAATTCAAATAGCCATTATTAACTTTGCATGTACTTCTGTTTCCTAAAATTAAAAACAGTTATTTATCAATTATAAATATATAAGCAGAGGTACAAAATCATTGAACTAACTTCAGAAAGCTAGAAGCTTACCATTTGGCAGAGGGTATGTAGTCGATGCATATGGTGATGTATAAAAACTGCTATTATAGCTACCGCTCTGAGGATTATAAGTAGCTGCCATACTAAAAAAGCACAATTATGAATCGTTAATTAAAAGTAAAAAAATAAGCCAGATATTAAGAGTGAAACATTATAAAAAATATGAATTTAAAACTTAACTAAGTTGGGGAATTTTCTAAAATTTATAACATTTCAATATTAAAATAGATGTATGAAATCCATCTTTCAGCAAGAAATATTATTTACACATGAATTAAAGGTTCAAAGTCTTGGATTCCAAGGTTCATACATTAGAATTTCATTCTTCAAAAAAATTGACAAAACTCAGGGGGTTAATGTGTTGATATTAGTTCAGATCTTTATGATTTACAAAATATGAATTCAATTTCCAATAGTTATTGTTTTCTCTAACTGAATTGATTTTATATCCAAGAATAATGCACTAAAATTATTTAAAAAATTAATACACCATAAACAAAAACATTTGAAAATTCTACATAATTTAAAAAAAAAAAGACATCAGCTTAGTCAGTAAATGTTAATTTAATGACAATAGTATTAATATAAACATAGAAAAAATAATTTTGCTATGGATAATGTTAGAAACTAGTACATCTAATACCTGTTATAGTACTGGCTAGGTGGATTGTTGTAATAATCTGAACCACGCTGATAACTACAATCACTGTAAGTAGACTCATTACCTAACTCTGAAATTTGATTAGCATCAATTTCTGTTTTCACTTCCAACTGCTCTATAAAAAAATAAGTCAAATGTCAAACATGGAATACCTCTAGTGTAGTAATTATTAAAATTAAATTATTATGTTAAACAGAAAAACTACCTTCTACTGCTAATAATAGAATAATAATATAATATTTAATAATAATAGAAACAAATAAATAATTAAGAGAAGTTGATGGTCAATAAAAGATACAGTCATTTCTTCAAATTATGGTTCAAAAGTGCACATCAGTCCAAGCTCAATAAAGAGTAATCCAATATCAAAAACATTATGAAATCATTCATAAAATTGGAAGATTCCAAAGTTGAGGCTAATTAAACCAGTTAATCTAATCCTTTTGAGAACCACAATTGGAAGTAAGTGTTGGAAAGATAAAAATTATATTAATCTTTTAAATCTATTTGCTATCTCATATTCAGAATATTACATAACATAGGGTAAACAACAGAGTCTCCTTCCTCATAACAGAGTAGACCGAACATGTGGTGGCGTAGGTCTCTTTGTTCATGAAGGTCTCAAATCCTAAATCCTCAATTGCTCTTCTTCTACCCATTCTCCTCACCTTGAATATCTGTTTGCTGAAATCCTCTACACTTCATTTTCCCTTCTCTTTGCTGTCATTTATCGCCTCCTTGAATTCCCTTTAACCAATCATTTGAGACTACTCTTTACAACCTTATACCATCCTAGAAAGTAAATGTCAAGGCCGCTACTGCAGTTTAGTTTTCACTTCGCTCTGTGATTATTACTTTGCAATGTGTTTATTAGTCAAAACTCTGTATTAAAACTTTGTTAACAGCGACTTTATAAAAAGTTGAACATTTTTAAATCCACGGATAAACAGGTGAGTTACAATTTATTAACAATGAAGTGATAAATTAGTGCTTCTTTGGGAAGACCAAGTGGCGGGTAACTCCCTTGCATTCTTATTTTATTTACATAAAGTTCACGGCCAAGGTTTGTACAGTAGCTCAATTCCGTCAGTTGGTCTCAAATGGAGGAAAGAAGACATAACGTTAGGCAAATAGCATGCGTGCTACAACCAATGCAAAAATATCCATTGCCACTGTTTTTCGTTGATTTGGAGCCTGCTAGTAAAAACATTGAAATATTTCAAGTTAAGAGGCTTGTATATTCCACAGTCAAATTCAAAGAGCCTAGACAAAAATCTATTGCCATCATCAGGTGAGATGCGTAAGATATGTCCGGCCACACACATTTAACACTTGTCAGATCCCTTGAGACCAGCCTCCTAAATGTGCTCTCTGTGGCGAAGACCATCCTGCTAGCTACAAAGCATGCATAGTCTACAAAATTCATAGCCTTAAATAGCAGTAAAATAAATCAAGAAACTTACACCTAGCCACCAGATATTGAAAATATTTAAATTTCTCTGATTTGCCAAAAGAAACTACCCAATTAAACCAACAAGAACCAACTACTTCAACTGACATCGTCCATCCTTATCAGGACTCTAGCAAAACTAACACCCATACCTCCATCAAGAAGTAGCAGCCTCGACGCCAGGCGTCTCAGGCCTCCCAATCCAAACCTCATACTCCCAATCCTCAATCTCATCCTCGGCATCATCAATTTCTCCCTCATCATCTACCCCTACGAGTCAACTTACCACCACAGCATTCACACCCATCTCTTCCTTTATGTCCAGATAAAAACCCCAGCACAAGTACCGTCAAATCCAGACCCACCTCAAACACAATGACGCGTCCCACTCTCAGTTAACACTCTTTACCCACCACATGAACCTATCCTAAATCCACTTCACAATCAACATCCATCTGGCATAACTTCCATTCTATCATCCTCCCGATTGCTCCTCAAAAAAACTATAAAACCTCTTATCAGTCTACTTACCAGAATTCAGACCAAAATTCTGTTTAATTTCCCTCGATGACCACAAAGTCCCTAACTATCCTGTTATGGAATGCCAACGACTACACAACCACCGACACGAAATTGACATATTTCTTCATGACAATCACATTGATATTGCTCTACTGACTGAAACACATTCCACTGAACGGACACATTTTCACATACAAGACTACATCACTTATAGATCTGACCATCCAGATAACAATGTCTATGACAGTTCTTGCATCCTTATACATACATCTTTACCCCATTCTCTTATTCCTTCCACTCAAACTGATGCCATTCAATCAACTTCTGTAATCCTTTCAACTCGCCCTTTCCATTTCACATTCTCAGCTGTATACTGCCCTCCTGGTAATTCCCTCTCATTTAATCTGATCCAATTCCTCGGCTAGTGCTTTATTGATGGAGGAGATTATAATGCTAAACATCAAAGATGGGGTTGTCGAACATCCAACTCCCGCGGTAACATCCTTTGCCGTGTCTCATCTTCTAATAGTTATTCAATCCTCTCGCCCATGAGTCCTACTTATTGGCCAACATTCCTCAATAATTGTCTCGATATCCTGGATATATTTATCACCTCCCAGATTTCCTCCTCCCTAACCATAATCAAATCCCTGGATGACCTTTCTTCAGACCATAGTCCAGTTCTGCTTTCACTACATTCTAACTTTGTAGCCATTTTAACTCCTAAATTAATCACAGGACAAGTAAACTGGGACAAAGTTCGTGATGATTTGGAAAACAAACTAGACCTATAAATTCAGCTAAAGACAAAAGAAGACATTAATGGTGCCATAGAAAAACTGACAGCATCAATAACAGAAAGTATAAATAATAACACCTTCATCAATAAGATTAACAATTCACAAAACTTGCCCCAGCATATTCGTATCTTATTAAAGGAAAAACGGAGAGCAAGATCGAAGTGGTATTGAACAAGATACCCAACAGATAAAGCGCATTACACCCAACTGACTAACAAAATAAATCAAAAATTAGAAAATTCAAAATTTAATAAATTTTACTAAAAAACTTTCACTTAGCGACAAATCACTATGGATGACCACTAAAAGGCTCCTGCAATTTAAAGACTGTAACCATCCACTACTCACCGAAGCCCAAACCTGGTCATAATCTGATGAAGAAAAATCCCTAATATTTCTCACCACCACCACTATGCTCACCACCTCTTCAAAACCTTAATCCACAACCCGATATTCTTAACACAAATCACCTTGAATGTATTGAAGCAGAACTGGATATACCACTCCAAATGTCTCTTCCACCTAAAGCCTTTCATCCTTCAGAAATATCCAACATCATTCACAGGTTACCTTCCCGCAAAGCTCCTGGACACGACCTAATTACATCCCAGATCCTAAAACTACTTTCTCGAAAAAACATTCTATTCCTTACTTATATATATAATGCTGTACTCTGATCCACATATTTTCCTGACCCTTGGAAATTATCCATTATCAAAATGATACATAAACCCAAAAAGCCACCAGAATACCCATCCTATCTCTCTTTTACCCATCATGGGCAAAGTCCTGGAAAAACTCATCCTAAAACGCCTGTACCCAATCCTAGATTCTAATAACATAATCCCTGATCACCAGTTTGGATTCCGCAGATCCCATTCCACTATCCAGCAATGCCATCATGTGGTGGATGTTGTCTTCTCTGCATTGGAGCATGGAATGTACTGCACGGGAGTCTTTCTCAATGTAGAACAGGCTTTTGATTGAGTCTGGCACCCAGGACTGCTTTACAAACTATGTAAATTCCTACATCCTACATACGTCCTCATTATCCGTTCCTACCTAACTGATAGAAACTTTAAAGTAAATTACAATAATGCTTATTCACCCCTCTTTTCTCAGTCCGCTGGTGTTCCTCAAGGTAGTATCCAAGGTCCTATTCTTTACACAGTTTATACAGCTGACATCCCAATCCATCCTAACACTGTTATTACCACATATGCCGATGATACATGTGTCCTGCCTGCTAATAATGACCCAACTATTGCATCCTAAACTCTTCAATCACACATCACAAACCTTGAAGAATGGTGTCGAAACTTTTTTTTTTTATTATTAGATAACCCCCTACTCACCATTTCTGGCATACGGGGGAGGGTTGTTCTAGAGGTACAACCAAACCTATTCAGACCAGAGTGGGAGGATCGAGTTTCATTCCGTGGGGTCGGCACGAAATAAAAGTCAACCACTCCCAGGCCGGATTCGAACCGGCTCGCTAGGCACGAGGATGCTAGACCGGGCAACCCTCCAACACACTCAAACAACGGCCACCACGACCTTGAAAATGGTGTCGAACTGGAGGATTAAAATAAATCCCATCAAATTACCTTTACCCTTCGCCGTAAACCTATGACCTGTCCTACAGTATCCTTTAATAATAACCCACTTATCCCTGTTGAACAAATCCGATACCTTGGACTCCACTTGGAAAAACGTTTAACTTGGTGTCCTCATAGAGGTACAACCAAACCTATTCAGACCAGAGTGGGAGGGTCGAGTTTCATTCCGTGGGGTCGGCACGAAATAAAAGTCAACCACTCCCAGGCCGGATTCGAACCGGCTCGCTAGGCACGAGGATGCTAGACCGGGCAACACTCCAACACACTCAAACAACGGCCACCACGACCTCGAAAATGGTGTCGAACTGGAGGATTAAAATAAATCCCATCAAATTACCTTTACCCTTCGCGGTAAACCTATGACCTGTCCTACAGTATCCTTTAATAATAACCCACTTATCCCTGTTGAACAAATTCGATACCTTGGACTCCACTTGAAAAAACGTTTAACTTGGTGTCCTCATAAAAGACTGAAACGACAAGAAACTGCTCGACCTTTCCGACTACTCCAACACTTACTAGACAAATGCTCTAAGCTTCCACTTAATTACAAAAGACTCATATACATGACTACAATAACACCTATTTGGACTAACGGAGATGAGCTTTGGGACCCCACTAAGCCATCAAATTCCTCTAGTATCCAATCCTTACAATCCAAAAACCTTTGGAAAATCCTCAATGCTCCTTACTTTGTCACATAAAATAATCCATAACGACCTTAATGTTCCTTATGTTTCCGATTTGGCCCAATCCAGATACCTATCCTTCCATAATAAACTTCAGAACCATCCGAATCCTCTCGTCTCTAATCTTGCTTCCTCTTATATTCTGATAACCCTCTGAGGCGTCTGAAAAGAAGATGGCATCGAGATCTCTTATTGTAAATACATTTATTTTTTAGAGTTCTACCAGTGGGTAGTTTCTCAACAAGTGATTTCATGTTATTATTTTCAGTTATCAAATTTACTAAATGTATTTTATTTATTAATACAGTTGTAAATATCATAAATAAATAAAAAAATAAAAAAATCCTGTCCTACCCCAATGTCATCCTATTTGGAGACTTTAATACCAATTTACTAATGCCATCCTCTAATTATTCTTATCCAACAACCTTCCTTGTTTCCCTTGGTCTCTAAATAGTGCCCTAAAACCTAACTCACCATACCCAGTTCTCGGAGTCCTGGCTCGATCTGTTTATCCTAGATTCCTCAGACAAACTCTTTGCTGCACCTCAGCACCTAGTTCCATTCCTATCTTTATACGATCTTATCCAGATTCCCAACAATGTACCAGTAACATTTTTTTCTCCCCGAACTATATCCTTCTGAAGCCTCAGTTCCATCACCTATGAAACCCTCTGACATGATCTCGGCGCAATCCAGTGGGACTCCATTTATCCCTTAAACTACATCGATGCCTTGGCAGAAACCCTAACTACTCATCTTCATACCATCCTACAGCTAACACCGGCCCTTAGGGAATGTATGAGAAGAAGAGATGCTGTAAGATGGCGGTTCAGAACTTGATTTCCTGAGGAATATCTCTCCTTCAAACAACTCCGAAACATCACTCAATCTCCAATATGCCTCACCAAATCCCATTATTTCTATAAATCCCTGTTTAGAACTCTAAATTCGAAAGCCAAGTGGGGTATCCTCCGTAAATTGTCCTTAGGTAAACCCACCTAAACCCAGTCTATCCATATTTCAGCCAACATACTCAACACTTAGTTTGTTTCTTCCTCCTCCCATTCCTCTTTCCTAGTGCCAGCTCTGACTCCCATTCTCCCCTTCATTAATCCCAATCATATCTTCTTTTCCCATATTTCTCCTGATGACCTCCTTAAATCCATTGATAAATCCCAAACCAATCATTTTGGACCAGATAACATCCCAGTTGAATTGATTAAAGCCTCACTTCCCTCCATCCTCCCTATCCTTTATCACATTTATAACTTCTCACTCCAAAGTTCTAATTTCCCCAGCACCTGTAACACTACCCTTGTTCAACCGCTGAATAAAACCTCCAAGCCCACAACCCATTTCCTTATCTAATGTTTCCGCCCAATTTCCCTATTATCTAACCTTTCCAAACCTCTAGAACGATTAGTTCAATCCCAATTATCCCACTATTTCAAGCAAAATAAAGTTATGAACCGGCACCAATATGGTTTTAGACCCGACTACTCTATCTATTCTGCCCTCATTAAAACTCCCAAGATCTTCATACACCTATAGACCAACAGAAACTCACCATTCTTATTATCATTGATTTTTCTAAAGCCATTGTCTCAGTAGACCACAATATTCTCCTTACCAAACTTTAAAATATCCCCTTGTCTTCGAGTGCCCTTAATTGGTTGCAATCCTTCCTCACCTGTCGCTACCAGTATGTCGTAGTCCCTAATAATTCCCCATCAGCGTCTCTACCCTTGTCCAGAGGCGTTCCAAAGGGTTCTTCCTTATCCCCCACTCTTTTTTCCATCTATATTAATGACCTTCCATCCTCTATCCCGCACTGTCAATACCACCTGTACGCCGACGACGTCCAAATTTACCTCTTCTTTAATCCGGCTGATTCCTGTGGTGCCATCCTAAAATTCCAGGAAGATATCAACAGAATATGTATTTGGCCAAATCGCAATAGGCTCACTCTAAATGCCGAGAAGACGAAACCTGTCCTGATTGGATCTCCCTCACTCATCAAATATATTTCTGTAAGTAATGATCTTCTCCTGAACAACTCACCTATCTCATTCCATACTTTTGTTAAAAATCTTGATATTATATTAGATCAAACCCTCTCCTGGAAACTACACATCTCCCAAATTTCCCGTCGTACTATTTCTATCCTAAAACAGTTCAACCGTCTACGCTATCTCCTTCCATACAAAACATGTCAATTTCTGATTTCATCCCTTGTTTTCCACCACTTCGACCATAGCTGAATGTTTTATGGTGGACTCTCGGGAGAACTTGAAGTCAAACTTAAATGCCTAATGAATTGCTCAATACGTTTTGTCTTCGGGATCTCAAGAGATACGCATATTACCCATTATTACACCAAGTTGAAGTGGCTCTATCCATCCTACCGTTGGCAGTACTTCCTTGTTACCTTTCTATACCAGGCTATTAGAACTCAGCGACTTTTCTATATTCTTCAGAGCCTACGATTTAAATACTTCATTCGATCCCCTCCCATAGATCCCGTACTTCCGACCTCTATCATCCTCCTCCATACACACACACACACACACTTGGATAAATTTAATAAAGTTGGGTGGGTTGCTATAGGAGGCAGGATAAGGTGTTATAATGTTTGATATTACTAATCCTAATTCTCTGGCCACTTGACAATCCCATTCCCTTGTTGTATTTATACTTTTACAGAACTGCATTGGAATGGTGAACTTACCAGGAAAATCTTCTTGAAGGTTAGGGTTCCAACTTTGGAATGACTGAATATTTTGAAGAGATGAACCCTGTAGGCAACCTATGAAAAAGATTTGAAGTATGATAATAACAAAAAATTAACAAATGAATAAATTATATAGATGAATAAATAAAATAATAAAATATTAAAAATGAATGTTTGAAGCAATTTACTTAACTAAGGGAAGCTTACCTTCAGCACTGGTATTAGGAGAACTGGAGTTAGAATCAGTTCCACTACCCTGACTGGATATCTCTAATCTACCTTCTAAGCCATCAAGTCCCCTAAAACAAGTAAATTAAAAATGATATTTAACTAATAAAATAATAATAATATATGAAGGACAAACAAGAGGTAGTCAAACTGTATTAATAAATAAAAATTAGATATTAATTAGTCAATACGATTTAAAAGTAAAACATAACATGAATGCTCCTATTGAATAAAATGTTTTGGTCCAATAAACAGCAGAGAAAAGGTCAATAACTATTATTTATCTATTACGAGGTATAAGGTGTACATAATAAAAAATATACCTTACCTTTAACCTTGAAACAGCCTTCCTACAGTTTAAATATTAAAAATATATCTTATGTTTTTAATAGTTTTTATACATTGATCTGTTCTGAAAACCATATGACTAGATCTGTGTCCTCCTTCTGAGTACCATAGTGTTGAACCGTTAATAGAAGAACCGAGTAAAGAGGATGTTGTAGTAGCTATCGGAAAATTAAAATCTCGTAAACCAGCGGTAACCGATAATAATTCTACTGAACTAATTAAGGCATGCGGGGAAGCTGGAGTTTCTAAAATACATTGGTTGGTTGAAAAGATCTGGGAGAATGAAAAATTACCTGAAGAATGGAAAGAATTTACTCTTATTCCGATCCACAAAAAGATCCCGGGGACGGATTGTAATAACTATCGAGGGATTTCACTCCTTCCGGTATGTTATAAAATATTCACTCTAATCTTAACTAGTTGAATCACGGAATACGCCGAAGAAATTATCGGCTACCAATGCGGATTTAGACGGAATCGTTCGTCTATTGATCAAATATTTTGTTTACGACAAATATTAGAGAAACAAATAGAGTACAGCAGTGTTGTTCACCAGCTGTATATCGATTTCAAAAAGGCTTACGATTCTATTGACTGCCTGCAAGAAACTGTATAATATTCTAATCGAGCAGGTGATTCCAAAAAAACTAGTAAATCTAATCAGGATGTGCTTGATGGAAACATTCAATAAAGTTAGAATCGGTAATAATCTGTTCGAAAAGTTTGAGGTTCGTTCGGGTTTAAAACAGGGGGATTCCCTTTGGCCTGTTGTGTTCAATTTGCCATTAGAACATGATATTACGGAGGTAATGAGTACCGAAAAAGGGTTTGATTTGGGTGGGACAACACCCGTGCTGGGCTATGCGGATGATTTGGTACAGTTAAGTGAAGACGTGGAAACTATAAAACTAAATACGACAACGTTAATGAATGCCACTAACCATTATCTTACCTACAGTTCTTTATGGATGCAAAACGTGGCCGCTTACATTATGGGATGAGCAGCGTCTTAAGGTTTTTGAAAATTAAGTATTGTGTAGAATATTCGGACCGAAGAAGGATAAATTAACCGGAGAGTTCAGACGGTTACACAAAGTTGAATTGCGTGAACTGTATCCAGGTAATATAATTGAGGTGATTTCATCTCGGCGAATCAAATGGGCTTGTAAAATTGTTGGGCTTAGTAACGAGAGAATTCCTAAAAGGTTAATATTTGCTGTACCGAATGGTAAACGTCCGAGGGTAGACCGAAGCGAAGGTGGGAAGATTGCATTATAGCCGATCTGAAGGGACTGGACTTGGACGGCGAACGGTGGAGGGAGGTGTTTAATAAGCGATTGGTGGTGTTGCCATCGAACCTTCGGCTTCGCTAAGCCTTTTATTATTATTATTATTTATTATTTATCACTTTAAAAAAAGGTATTTTCCTGGAGTGGAGAAGAATTAACTTCAACCACTTCACGTTAATTTTTGTAGTTTTATTGGATATTTAGGAAGCTCCTTACTATTCTCGCAGTGTTCAGCAGCACAGCTTTCTGGGCTTCATTTATCGTAGCTGTTGAGAGGCCCAACTTCTCGGTAGCTTCTACAGTGGATTTTGGAATCAGCCCATTGCTAGAGATCACTAAAGCCCTTACTGTCACTTTGTTCAGTCTGTACAGATCTTTTAACTCGGCTGCAAGAGTTTGATATTTCCGAATTTTTTCGGCGCAGACTGAGTTGGTGTTCCCATCATTTGGTACAGCGATATCTATTATCTCAGCTGTCTTCATATTACTGTCGATCAACACGATATCAGGTCTGTTATGGAGCACAGTATGGTCTGTTATAAAAGATTGATTCCAATACAATTTCATTCCTTCCTTCTGGATAAGTTCTTTAGGGTTGTACTTATAATAAGGTATTGAATCATTCACTAACTTTCTTTTTAGACCAATTGCCTGACGATAAATTTTTGCAACATCGTTATGTCTCTTGAGGTATTTAGCACCCTCCAGTTATGTGCTGAATAGACTCGAACGTGCTGGCACAGGGCCTACACTTGTCTGATAGTGTCTGTTGCTTCAAGACATGTCGCAAGTAAGACCTCGTTGCATGTTTGCATGAATGCATGACCTAATGTTGCATTGCTCTCAGAAAGCCCTCTGTCTCGGGCATGTAGAACAGCACATTTCTCAATACCGAGTGACATGTGTATTGAGTCACTAAATTGAGTGATTTAGTGAGTGATTGAACCTTCGGTTTCGCTAAGCCTTTTGATATTATTGTTATAGTTACCAATTATATTTTGTGTTAATTAAATAATTAGAGGAATGTTTTTTTAAAATTTGTAAACATACTTTCGGTAACCGATTGTCTTCCATTTGGTCTACTTTTCGGTACCAGCGAATCATTCTTTTAAGAACGCTTATTTCTAATGATTCTAGATCCGTTTCTATACGCACATAATGATTAGGAGTATTGCGTGGCCAATGATACATTGCTTAAAAATAACTTAAAGCAACGCGCTCTAATTTTTGACAGTGTAACGAAGCCCAAACCTCTGCTGAATATAAAAGAACGGAATTCACCATAGAATTTAACAATTTAAATTTAATCGAGTGAATTTCATATTGACCTTAACAAGATTTCTCGAACTCTATATGAAGCCAATTCTGATTTTTCAACAAAATTATCAGCTGCCTGAGAAAATAAGCCCGATGATGAAAAAAAACACCCAAAAATAATTTTACCGTTTAACTGTTTCAATTTTGAAATTGTTGTAGAAGAGAGGTTTAACATTACCTATATTACCACCTTTTTTAAATATCACATATTTTGTCTTTTAAACATTAACAATTAATGCATTTAATTGAAAATTTTAAAGAGAAATTAATATCTTATTTGTTCCGAACTAACCATTATTAAGTAAAACTAAATCATCCGCGTATATCAGTCCCACAGGTGGACTTTCTACGGGGGGGAGCTTTCAGGCTGAAGCCCCCCCCCCAAAATGGTGAAATGTAACCATGTTTAATAGAAGAAAATATTAAAAACTATCTCTTAAAGTATTCTTGTTCGTGTAATTATATTTAATAGGACTTCAAGAACCACTTAAACACCATTTCATATAGGTAATTAATTTCTATATTTTTTTTTCAAATTAATTATCGTTATATGTATATATAAAAAAAAATCTTTCGGACTGAAGCCCCCCCCCAAAAAAAAAAATTAAATCCTGGATCCGCTAGTGATCAGTCCTGATATATCTGTTGTATGGTCAATATTTATTCCGGTACACTCATCATTACAAGTATTTTACATTTTTGTTATTATTGTATAGTATATATTTTTTACTTAGATGTTTTCTTCTTATTTCATTTCTCTCATTTTGTATATGGAATAGAATAGAATAGAAAATAATTTTATTCTGGGACAAAGTCCCTTTAGAATAACAAAAAAGTACAAAATTAAAATATTATATCTGGCCTAAATAAAACAAACATAAAAAGTAAAAATAAAGAGAAATAAGTAAAGAAAATATTAGTTAAACATACTATATACAAAATTAAAAAAATCTATATACAAAACACTTGAAACCATGCCAAGACACTTAAAACTATGTACAGTGGTAAAACATAAATATACACTTTTAGAAAAAATAAATAAAAATACATTACATTCTTCTTAGCAATAAACTCTGTGTTTCTGTAGAAAAAAAAAAAAAGAAAGTCGAATCTGATAGTAAGTATTTAAGTGATGAGTTATATGTAAATACATCATTATGAATAATATGTAATTTTACGTAAAAGGTTAGCGGTTTTTGGGACAGGAATTGGAATAGGTGGGTTTTAAAAGATTGGGAGGGTATTAAAAGACATTCAGATAGGGAGGGAGAATGCCGTATTTTGATAGAAAGGGAATTCCACAAATTAACAGAGCGAACAATAAGGGAGTTTTGGAACGAAGTAGATGAGAAGGATTGTAAAAGTCGGAAGGCCGAGATCTTGTGGAAAGGGAGTGGACTGAGGACTTGAATTGAAGAAGGTTGTAAGCGTAAGAAGGACGATGATTGTTAATGATTTGATAGAGGAACGTACATAGAATGTATTGTCTTCGAATGTACGGGAAGAGTCACTTTAATTTAGTGTAGTGGTGAGAGACATGGGAGTAACTCGGGGCACCAATTACAAATCTTGCGCAAATGTTCATTAGTGTTTTCAGTCTGTCACGGAGCTCCACCGAGAGTCCATCATACACCACACAGCTATAGTCAAACTGGGAGAAGATAAGAAAGGAAACCAGGAGTCTACGCGTATGTTGAGGTAGGAGGTGGCGGAAGCGTAGGAATAGTTTGAGGGTAGAAATTGTCCGACGGGAGAATGTTACATAGTATGAATGTACACATAGAGCCTTAATACCCAATCCCCTTGATTGTGGCAGATTGTATTATTATTCTTCCAATAAAAAAAAAAATCGGATCCATTACACTCTTTTTTTTTGTTAAATTTGACTGGGCTAATACTTGTATGACATTTGTTTACGAAATAAGTTTTCTTTTCTTTATTTAATGCGGGACAACGCAGCAAAGGAGATCAAAAAACATTAGCAGTACTTACAAAGTTTAGGGCGTCACATTCAAAGATTCAATTAAGCATGGCAAATATTGGAACACAATGCTAATCAGTGAGGAAGACCTTATAAGTTTAAAGCCGGCTACACCTAGACTATTATTAATCAATTAAATTCCTCAATATGTATTAGAATCTATTAAAGTGCAAGACCAAAACCGATATTGGGCCACACTAATTGCGGACAATGTGAAAAACGTTTTTATTTTTGTAACTTGTATATAAGGGTTTAAACAAGTAAAAACCAAAATTGCTAACGTGAGCAACCAAGGGAAAACTTTGGATAGCCAAAAAGGCTAGTTTTTTCGATCTTTTTTTTTGTCCACATATAACTTTGAGACCATTCATAGAAGCGAAAAACATCGTTAATTAGAGACGCTTTCAAAATAAAGAATGGAATAGCATTATTAATTTTTTTTGTTTGGAGAAAACTTTTTGGTTAGAGAACACTGAACAGAGAATTTAGAGTTTCAATTAGCCGCCATATTATTTTTTCCAAAATTTCCTTAGAGGAAATTCGATCTTCAGATACTCACCTATCTAGACATTCATATTCTTGGGCTGCTCTTAATTTCCAATTTTACAACGATAAGGATTTTTTTATTTTACGTAACATTTGAATTTTATCTAAAAAGTTAAATAGTGTAAAGATATGAGAAAAATAGAAACAGGTGAATTTCTACCTCCATAACCATTATTGTGGTTTATCAAGGAATTTTGGAAGTAACTGTAGCCTACAAATACAAAATGACATAAAAATGAAGAATAAGGCGTAGCTTGCTATATAATATTAAAGAGATAACAAACGTGTACAAACACAAATGAATACTTGAGATTTTTTCCCGGCAAGGACCCAGCTAGGGGATACAAGATCATAATACATTCTCTACAGTTCTCGACAAAGCTCCGACCTCGGGCTCAGAATAAGACCTCATCAGCACCTAATTAGAGCGAGTATCAATCAAGCTTCGTTTTATATTACACACGTGTAAACTGTAGTTTGGAGGGTGTAATCATCAAATTAACTGATTAATTCCATTACAAGGAACACAACGATATGCAATTTATAGTGATGTGGAGGGGAGGGTGCACGAGGAGGGTCTGGCCCACGGACTACTGTATCCCACTAAATGTCCCCCCCCCCTCCATCACCCCTTCTTCAAAATATTGAAATGAATTAATATTTACTTCGCTGACTCATATCAGACAGATTATTGAAGACAAAAGACAATTTGAAATGATCAAACATGAAAAATAATTTAAATGGAAAATAAATTATTTTTTAATTTGAAAATCTGTACCTCGTAAACTATTTGACTTACTGAGCCTGTTCTGGTGTTAAATTGTAGCATATTTAATCTAGTCTAAAAATGTATTAAATGTTTTTGTCGAAAATCTGCTCCTTCGTGGATAAAATTGGGAATAACCGAAAGAAGTGCGAAAATATAGCAGTTTTGGGGATATTCAAAAGGGATACGGGATGTGGAGGAAGTGGGCACCGAGAACGAAAACTTGGATTTTGTATCCCATTCATATCCCATACGAGTAAATAAAAAGAAACCAACCCCATTCAATGCAACTTACGAAGTACAAGGTTATTGGCTACCACCTTGTTTTGGAATTTCTTACGCAATCCTCATCCTTAACTACGTTTAAACACCATTTATTTATCCATCTCCTCAGAAATAAGTCTTCCTAATATATGTGAGAGTAATATTGATGTTTTTTTAGAGCTATCACCAATGTTGCACAAAATCGGTCTTGGTCTTGCACTTGGCAAGACAAACACCAAGGCCGCCTAACTGTTGCAAGACCAATACCAGGAAGGGTAAAAAAAATCAATTTTTTAAATACAAATTAAGGCAAAATAGTTACTAATACTTGCCAATCTTCGTTACTATATGTTAATAATTGATATAACAAATGTAGTTTTTCATTTGGGCTTAGTTAGGTTTCTCCTATCTAAAAAAAAACAGTAATATCTCTATAGTAATAAGCTAATAAGTAACTGCAAGATTGTTGCGAGACTCTTGCGCAAGACCAAGACTATGACCAAGACTGAGTTTGCAAGACCAAGAAACGTCTTTGACAGCCAAAAAGGCCAGTTTTTTCGATCTTTTTTTGTTTGTTCACATATAACTTCGAGACCGTTCATAGAAGCG